CCTCCGAGGTTTCTCCAGGAGTGTTGTGGCTTCCTCTGGAGAGAGCTGAAGCCCTGGGAAGCGGCCCCAGACTCCTCCCAGGTAGTTAGCTGAAGAGCTTTGTCCACGGCAGGGGGCTTGGAACTAGATGATCTTTAAGGTCCCTTCCAACCCAAACACCGTTCTGTGATTCTACGTTTGGGGGAGGAAAGGCGTGAGGCAAATCACACGCCATCTGAAAAGTCATGAATTAACCAACCGGAACTAAAAACCAGCAATTAACAAGACATGAGTCGCGGGGATACCGATGGACTACGAGGTCCCCAGACCACCCTGCTTTTCCGATGTCGTGACGACACCCTGACCCGTGCCTGGGACCTGGGAGACGATTTCCTCCGTGCCGCGGAGGTGTGGACACAGGGCACCCCTCCTCTCGTCGCTCCTGCCTTCTGCCGTGGACTGGCAGCCCAACTGTTCCTGCACCGACCTGTCCCTGGGGTGGCTTTTCCTTCGCAGTATCCTCACGACACAGCCTTCACCGTCACACCTTCCTGGTGACACGGGACAATCCAATGGCCCTGGCTTTTTCCTCAAGTTTCCAACCTTCCCATCACTGGCTTTTTCTTTGCCTAAAGATGTCATTTATTCCACCGGGAGACCTCAGCAGCATCCTGTTTCCCGGTGTTAAAATGGAGAAGAGGCTGACTGGCTGTGTCGCGTTTTTTCGGAAGGGACTATCGATCTGGAGCATTTCAGCTCCGCTCCAGGACACGTCCTGCAGCCGTCGTCCCTCGCACTGCTCACTGCCACCTTCCGCGCAGCCCTTGTGCCAACGCTGACCCTGAAACACGGATCTACCTCATCGAACAGCTGCAGCATGATGGTGAGGACATCTGGGTGGGCTTTGTCGACCTCGTCGAAGAGCACCACAGCATTTGGACACTGCCTCAGCTTTTTGGTGAGCTGCCCGCCCTCTTCATGGCCCACGTAGCCGGGAGGAGAGCCGATGAACTTGGCGACCTAGGAGGAAGCAACAGGACACGCGAAAGCTGACCCGTGGATGCCAGGAGCGAAGCCCTCTCGGTAGCTCAGCAGGCAGCCACGACTCTTCACTGCAGACAAATCAAGCTCTATATTCTTTGTGACATCTATCGCACCCCGGGTATCCCAAAATCAGCTTAATCAGCAACAATTTGGCAAAGTGCAGAGTGGTGGCTGCTGAGCAATTACCTCGCCCAGAGCTTTAGCCAGCAGAGTCTGCAGGAGCAGCCACAGGCAGGGGGGGCCAGCGACACCCCCCTCTTTTACAG